CTCTGAAGCTTTTATGACGAGATAAACTGAGGAGTTGAGGTAAAAGGGAGTTTCAGGTGACAAGCAGATGCTTTATGTTGCCCAGCTGCATTATCAGTTCTCCATTTAAGTTCAAAGGTAAGCAATTACTACACAAGCTTCATGATTACTTCCATGGGATCACACTGCCTCTGCTAATCTCCACAGAAGTATCCACTGCAGGAGTCCTGAAGAGTGGAATTTCTCCAGCATTACTTAACTGAGAGGCTAGAGCTTGTCTGAGCTCTGGAGGGGATTAGGAGCAAGCACACTTTTTACAGTCCATATATTTTTTTGATCCTAGAGCAGGAGGAGCAGAAAGTAGACTACCACATACCCCTAGCTTTTATTTAGCTTTGATGGGCTCAACCCCCATTGACCATTGGTATGTAGAAGCATCAGCTTTTAGGACAGTGTGAAAGCACAGAGTGTGCTGTGAATACCTTGAAGAGCAATTGCTGACTGTTTCTCACCTCCTTGGCTCATGAGTTGAGGTATGCAGGGGCCCCTGATTTGGAACAGAGTATAAGCTGGAGGGCATCACAGAACAGACTGACAGGCTTTAGCTCAGACCAGACACTACTTAACAGGCCTAGGACTGTGCCTCAACATGTGTTAAAGCCAAGCTGAGACCAGATAATAGTCAGAAAGGGCAAAGTGGTTCTCTAGAACCTGTCACTATGATGTAAGTGAAAGATTAGTGTCCCACTTGACTAGTCTTCAGTAAGTTGAGGCAGATGTGTACATTCATGAAGAAAAAAGAGAGAGTACCCCGAATAACATGTAAAACCAAGCATTACTGTGTAGCCCATCACTATTTCTCCCCTCTCAATCTATTTTTACACACATTGCCAATAAGCTCCACAAATACTTCATCAGCACTATTTTAGATGCAAGAATTACTTGAGTCAAACAATGTTTAGCTTAAGTTTATTTGCACGAGAATTTCAGAATCATTAAGGCCCAAATCCCAATTTCCAAGAATGACAAGTGAACATCACAGTGCAGAACAGTAGACAAAGTTACTGTGGCCAATCTCACCTTTCAGATCATCACAAATCCAAGTATTTCTAGTACCTTGTTTTGCCAGCTTAAAAAAAAAAAAGACTCACTTCATCCAAAGAGGCATGAGAGATTTTCCAAGAGCTGACTTCTTTTAATAGTAAAAAAAAGGATGAGAGATAAACACAAAAAAAAAGGCTTTCTACATTTCAACAGGAAGTGCAATTTTAATCAGAAAGTGACAAGCCCAATCCAGACACTTCAGTGAGTGGCCTCCTCCTCCAACATAGGTGGAAAAAAAAAACTAGAATGCTCTAACCATTCCCCCCAAAGCTTCTACAACTATAGCCCAGCATCCCACCTTGTAACTAGCTTCACTGAAATTAAAGAACATATGAAGTATTCAACCATTTGTTAATATCGTGAAGTGTAAGACTTAGATGCAAAGGCTAGAAGTATTATTATACATTTGGCTCTCCCAATGCCCAAATTAGACCAAGTTGCCAGTGACTATGGTTAACTCATTGCTTATTCCTGTGCCCAACAACTACGGCACCCTGATTGAGTAAGTTGAGCGAGAGGGATAGTAAACAAGTACCATGAGTACACTGACAGCTTAGAATTGAAGCAATTTGTCCAAATTCTGTTCTAAGAGGCCTTTTCCTAAGCACTTGTATAGTGATAAGCAGAGATCACTACCAACATCAGCAGTTATTCTAGTGATCAGAAACCCACAAAGCCTAGGCAAAAGACATACCAAATGCTTAACCCCATAACTCAATCCCAAAATATGGGTCTTCAGTTTCCATAAAAAGCTTTAGATATTTAGATTTAAATACCACCTCCTGCTTTGTAGACAAGGTATTAATGTTAAAATAAAGTGTTAGGATCTTTTGAAAAATGGTTAGTCAAAAGCAAGCAGTAGTCTTCAACCTCCAGCTTAATGATTGACTGAACTGAGGTCAAACACAACAATTAAGTCTTAAATGGAGGGAGCATGATGTATGTTTTACAACTTTTCAGAGTGACCATGGATCAGCATAGGGATTTTAACAAAGTGACTGAAACCCAGTCTACTACTAGGTCTCCTTGGTAGCATCTATATTAAATAAAAAAAAAAAATCTATCCTACAATGAGGAAATCACACCAATAAACTGCAAATCAAGGGGGACTTGGCAATAAATACTGATAACAAATGCTTAACCTCAGACTGGCTTAGCCCAGCAGAGCTTATAAGCTACAGCAAGAAAACAGCAATATTCAACCAGTCTAGTTTACTAGAAGCATAGTCCTGAGGAATGATGCACTGATACAAGACTTGCAGTCTAGTGTTACTGCAGCTTTGTCTTGATGCCACTGCCCAGGGGGAATGTATTAGAGTAATAGTCTAAAGTATAGTAGTCTTTCTCTAACCTGCACTTGACACACAAGTGAGCAACACAGGATAGAGCAGGCTTGCAGAGGCATCATTAAGTACTGAAGGGGGAGACTGAATCAAGCAGGCAACCTAGACTTGGCCTAGTGTCATCACTTCACTTTTACCTAGTGCTCACTTGTATTACTGCTTGCTACAGGGGCCACCATAAACCTGAACTCAAACCAGCTAGCACACACCAAATTAAGCCACTGTCATATGCAATATCAGGCTGCTAGGACAACTTGAAACAGAAAGGGGTAGACTGCTGGCAACACAGTGGTGAAAAGCTACTGAGTATGCCAGCTCTACCTGCCAAGCCAGGATTATTTTGAGGGCAATGACATGAACAGTGTCCTAGCAATCCCTTATACAGTAGGGCCAATGCAGTAGGTAGTGTGCAGCTTCAGGATACAGTTTAACTATTCAAGAGCTTAACATCCAGCAGCCAGCCTACAAAGCATCAATATTTCTAATACGCCAGAGCAACTCAGACAGACGGGGAACACAACAGTCCTGCAAAGCTTAAACCCAGGAATTCAGCTGTTCAGAGAGTAGCCATTCAACATAAAGCTTCCTTAGAGGTCTCAGCAACAGGTTACATTAACAAAAGCACAATATTTAGGGCAGGAAGCTTAAATTCTCCATAGCTCTCTCTCAGTAGGAATCCATTAAAGCCTGCTTTCTAGCACTTCATTTTTCAATAGATGAACTTGGCCTGATGTTCATCAGCCAAGGCATTCAAAGGCTAGCAAAATGCAAGTCTGCCTGTTTCAAGCTTGTGAGGACTCCTCCTGAGCATCTGACCACTTCTTCCATGTGAGCTGATGCACAGAAACATTTTATAAAGATCATCCATGAGATCACGCAAGACAGATACATGCATGTAAGCTATTTGATATGCAAATCAGACAATGTCCTCTAGGCAGTGGTTTACTTCTGCAATGGGTATAGCTTAGGCTGGCTTTAAAAACAGCTATTTAAGAGATGATAGTAACTCCTAAGCAAAAGACTTCCTTCTTTCCAGTGATACTCTATAATAGGCCAAGCATTGCCTTGCATTCAGAAATTATGCCTAGGTTTGCATTCCAGCAGTAAGCTTGCACTAAATTTAACACACATGACAACACTGGCATCATATTAGTTTTTAGAAAGCCTTCCAGATAGTCAGAGTCTTGGGTGAGAGATGCCTTGTCTGTAAGCTACGTCAAGTCCAAGCCACAGTTAGTGAAAAAGGCTGCATTCACTTTCAAGTTTAGCTACTTCGGCTGACTACTCAGGAAGCCTTTAATGAAAAAAGCACAACAGAAGACACCAAATTATTTGTCTATTTGCTACTGAAGTTGCTTACAGGACTGTTCAAAACGTTAAGCTAAAGCATGCTTGGCTACAGTCTTTCTAGATTGTATCCCTCCCTGCTTCCTAAGCTAAATGAAGTCTGAACAAAGGGGTAGACTCACCACTTTGAGGCAGTCTTTATAAAGTAGTTGTGAGAAGCGAGAGAACTTGCAATGTAAATAGAATTTTCAGTCCTATGAAGAATGGGCAGGCTTTTCAGTGCCATTTAAGTGCCGCACTGCTACTGTTTTTCACCTTGAACAGCAACCATACATTGGTGTTTCACCTGCATTCTGCTTTACCCTCTAAGCTTAAATAATTTGTTTGATCAGGCACTTTGGTCTCACAAGCTTGCAGAGACAGCTAGAAGTCACAAGAGAGGTTTAGCAAACAAGTACTCTTAAACATTGCACCAGTACATATAAAATATCTCTAAGATTTGCCTTTCTAGTCTACTTCTCTGGTTAAGCAAAGGAAACTCAAGGTTTGCTCATTTGCTATATGTGTTTTACTATTGCAATTCAGTGAAAATCATCCAGTTAATATACCAGTTTCTAATACTGCTATATACATAACTAGGGAATTTTTAACCTTCCTTATAAAGCACAGGAGTTTCAAAGCAGCAAGTTCAGCACATACCCTTTAGGAAGGTCAGCCCCCCCACATCTCCAAGGGAGGTACATATTCTTCCAAAGGCTATTCTGAAAACAGGGGCAGACTTTCACCACATACAGCCTCTGTGGAGAGCTCTGCTTAGGATTTATATCTCTTCAAGTGAGGGTTAAGACCAGTAAAGAGGAAGAATTTGACTCTAACCACTCAAAATACCATCTCATACAGTGACCAGGTGATAGGGATAAACCAGTAAGCTCAACCCTTAAGTAGTGACAGAAATGCAAGCCTTCAGGACCTGCCTGAAGTTGTACAAGAAGAAATTCATTTTAGGAGGCACTTTAGGAATTTATGCTGTGGCAGGAGTGCACATCATCCTGCAACTTACAGTGGTTGTGGGGGGTTTTTTGTTGTTTTTTTGTTTGTTTGGAGGTGGGGTTTTTTTGCTTGCTGTGGACCTGTGAGGAAGAAAGCTGGACCAAACCTCAGTGTAAGAGCTGCACTAATTTCCAACTGTGCCAAAAATTGTTTTGAAAGATGCAGTCAGAACAGCTTTATCTTGAGCCTGAACTTAGCAGTATTTTTCCATCCTAACTATCCAAACTGTGGTTCCAATTCTATTTAAGTCTTCAATTCCTCATTTCAAGAACTTTTCACATTAGCAAGTTTTAAATCATGTTTTGGTGCATGTTTAGAGATGCCATCTTCCAAATTTTTGTACTCAAGAATAATTTAGCCAGCTCATGGGTTAGAGATAGACTTACTAATCCATCTTCAACTTCCAAGAAATTAATCTTGAACTTGAGGCAGGACCATATATCCCTAGGTACTACAGGAAACAACATTTAGGCCCTCTACAAGACAGACAGTATCCATACTGTTACTAGTTCTACACAGCCAGAAAGTAGAAGCATCCCAAGCATGACAGAGCCCACTCCCGCACGATTAGTTCAATAGAAAGTTGGCCAGATCTTGAACTGAGGAAGTGTAGAATAATGAGGTTAGGCAATAGAAAGCAGAGTTTTGCTGCTATTCCAGGAGTGGCTTCTGCTCTGCTCAAGACACTTTACAGTTTTTCCTCTATTAACTAACCCAGTTTACTGAATAGTCCACTTAGATCGCATGTTAATAGCCACTTCCAGAACTAGTAGTCCTCTTAACATTTGGCTGCTGGTTCTCTTCTCCTAATGAAGGGGAAATAAGGCTTCTTGGCATTTGTAGAGATATACTGAAAGGGTCATTGCAGGTCACCTGGTTGCATATTCCTACTGCACACCAGGAAATGAACAGTCCAATGCAGTCATGTTTCCATTAGAAAACCTCCAAGTGACAGTTATTACTTGTCTATATATACACTCAGAATCTTGGCCTTCAGTTGCCTCCACTCAAGAATGCCCAAGTGAAACAATCAATTGCAAGGCAACCAAGTGGGGTAGGACTGGCTGTACGGCACAGGAGCATTTGCAAGATAGTAGTTGCTGAAGTTCACATCGCTAACATAAGGTGCTGGCTGGTAGTAACAGGTAACATTAGTGGCATTAGGGATGATATTTTGTTCTGCCAGTACTTTGAGTGCTAGCAGAGAAATCAAGTTGAGAGTCTGCCTCCGCTCATGTCCCATGAGACAGACTGTGCTCTCATTCACCACCCTGCGCAGAATCATGAGGTAGTCATATTTGCTCCTTTCTTCTTTGGAGAAGTGGTTCTGGAGATAGGTCTCTAGTTTGCGCTGCTGATCCAGGATGTCTGGGAAGTCTATGAAGAATCGGGAGCACATGTAGCGCTCTAATGTTTTGATCTCATGCTTATCCATGGGCCTGAAGTCTCGTACTAAGAGGTTACTATACTTCAGAAGCCCACCACCTCGGATCTCTTCAGGATTTTTGGTAGCTATCAGCTTGTTCTGGAGGTGATCAAAAGCTGCTTCAAAGTCACCATACATACTCTCCCCAATCACAGTTGGATGGAAGTGCTCCGACATGGGGGTTTCTGAGTAGTCATAGTAAAAGAGCAGGGAGTCCAGTATGATTTGGAAAGAGTCCACACTGAACTCAAACTGTCGCCTTATACAGTCTACAAACTTCAGCTCCACGTTCCTGCCATGTTTGTTGGAAAGAGATATCAAGCTCCAGCGGTCAGACTCTGTGGACACTTTGACTAGCTTCTGGATGTAGGCTTCCTTCAGTGTTACCGGACTGATTTTTAGCTTGCTTACTCCTTCTGGCAAGAAATTCAAGAGGGATCGCAACACCACATCTCGAACTAACTGAAACTCTGCCTCACTTGGAAGAGAGACTTGAAAAATGAGATCCAGGTCTTTGCATCCCAGCCCATTATCCTTGACTAGGACATGACCAGCTGCAGAGCCATTCAGACGGACATCATGTACCACAATGCCTGCTTCACTCAGCCTACTCCGAACAGTCTGAACAATGTCCTTCAGAGTTATCTTCAGCGTTGGGAAGTTACCTCGTCCATGGATCGGCACCACCTCTGTAAGAACCTCATGCAGACGGCTGACCTGCTCCCAGTTCAGTACACTGCATGACATGCAGTCTGTGTTACTTCCTTTGCCTGCCATCTTAAGGTTTTTCTTCTCCAAAGAAACTGTAGGGAGGTAGAATAAAAAAGAAAAAGACAAATCAGGCTCTCTGTTTATACTTCCTAGCTATATCCTGTGCTCTACTTTTCCATCCACACACATACAAACTAGAAAGCAATAATTCTATGTAAAAATGATTATCAAAAAGCCTTTCACCTGACATGATACTCAGCTTCTCTATTGGTGCAGGCACAAAATTTTAGTTGGCACTGTCCTTTTTTTGGTGAGGTAAAGTACTTCAGCAAAGCAGTTTGCATCAAAGGGAAATTATCAACAAAGATGACACATAAGCTTTACCTAAATTTAATATTATCTGCAGCACCAGCCGATGTCAGAGGAGCCACAAGAGCAAAGCACTTCTGAAAGTTATGCTTTGAACTTGTTTCATTATACATAAAGCTCAAACTGCTCTCTCCAGCTAACATAATGATGGAAGACGCTCAGGTGTTAGTTTCAGGGCTTAGAGATTCAATCCACTGAAAGTGCTTTAATTACGCCAGAGACATAAGATCTCTTCCTTTTCATAAAAGTTTTTCCTTTCTTAACCATCTCCTATCTACCACTCATGGGCTAAGAGCCAAGTACACCTTGCTCCTGCAAAAAGCTACAGCACTTCAGCATCCTGGACAGAATTTCAGCTACAAGAATCAACTAAACAACTATTCAATTTGCACTCCCATCTTCATATGCAACTCTTTACTCTTCTTCAGACACACTGCATAATCAAGCTACCTTTTTGGAAATACTCATGCTTGCCCCAACCTTTCACTCATTTGTGGAGGGCAAACAAGCTTTTAAGAGCTGGCATACACTCAGATGAGGTTAAGGCACACATCAGGTTAGTGTTGTACTTTAATACTAAGGACTTAAGAACCTCACCAACCATACCTGATCACAGCCTTATCTGCAGTTTTGCACTTTTTAAGGCATCTCATCACAGTTGACCAGATCATTCTCTTGTGCTTAAGCGGCTTGTGTTTTGAAGTATGCGGATACTTGCATATGTTCTACAGTCACACAACTCCAACTGGTATTAATATACTTTTCTCTTTTTAAGTGTTCCAGGTTTCCATTGTGGCCAGGTGCTTCCTGACAGCTATAGACTAATTGAGGCCTCACCTTCTTCTGCCCCAAGTACTTGTGAAGACTGCAGCTGCCAAGGTCAGACTAGTCAGACTTAAGGTAGTTAACTCTTGCCTACCAGGAATTGTTTTAAACCCAACCATATTGCCTCCTAACATGCATCAACACAGTGCATGGCACACTTTTTAAGCAAGAGTCAAAGAGCAGCTATTGTCATTTCACGCCTGTTCTCTTTCGAACAGCTCATTTGACCTGTCACTTGCCCTACAGAAGAAAGTCAAATCCTAGTTAAAATATACAGTAAGGTAAAAATGCTCCTGGGGAAGTAATTTCTGCCCTTGAGCATGAGCTGCTGGATTACAAACTCTGCTGCTGTGGGTCACATCAGCTCCAGCAGGCACAAAACAAGCCTGTGATCTAACATGATTAGCCCAGGACAAATCAAGGGGTCCTTCAAACTTAATCCTTAAGGCTGTAATGCAGCATAAACCCAGAGGCATCAAGCCTGCCAGTAGTTGCCCTCAGGCACTTCAAACACATTAAAGTACATTTTCACCTTAAAGCCACTGTATTCTCATTAAATCCTTCACATCACTTAAGAACACAAGAGTATTCCGTGACTTCTGCCTTAAACACAAGTGCTTTCAGCTACTACCTCTGAAAGTGTTCCCTCTCCTCCTTCCCACCTGTAGCCTCTTCAGCAGCCAAGACAACACGGGCAGCCCACCTAGCAGCTACAAGCACTGGGAGCAGTGCTTCCCACCCCACCACAGGCACTTGGTGATCCTCATATAGGAGGACTGCCGCCCTTGGGCAGGGGGAAATGAAGTATTTCATTTCCAGTTCAGTGGAAAGTTTAATTATCAGCCTGTCAAAATCCCACCTCCAAATCACTCGCATGTTTGCCTACTCTGCGAGTTTTAAATTAGTGGTAGCAGGATCTTGGTGACTTTAATGTACTTGGGACACTAGCAGTTTGCCTGCCTCTTGTTTTGCCGCCAACACTTTCCGTCATGAGAAGCTCCGATACCTGAAGCTGCTCATTCACTGGGAAGAAGGCAACTCTGAAGCCACGATCGGCACTACCTATTTTTTACTACCAAGTGTACAGAGCTTCACTCGGATGCAAGCCTCAAACCGGCGGCAGAAAGAGCGAGGACAACGTGCCCGCACCTTAGTCATGACGAAGTACATTACGCTGCGGCAGCGGTTCCCCTCCCCATAAACCATGTAATTTGACACAACACCTAAAAAATTCAGACGACCGTACCGGCAGCAAGCAGCACCCCTGTGACACTACGCTGCTGCAAGCCCCCTCCAAACCCGAGCGGCAGCGCAGGCAGGCCGGGGCGGCTTCCTTCACCGGACGTTTCCTCCCCAGGGGAAGAGCCGAGCCCGCTTTGTAACGGGCGCGCCGTTAACGGGCGACTCGCGGGCTCGGCTCCGCCCACGCAGGACCCGCACTCACCCGGGGCACGCGGGACTTGCCGTTAAGCCGCTTCAAATAAGAACAATAATTTTTAAAAGCGTT